AGTTATACAAAAATTTGAAATACTGTGCTATCCTTGCTACACTTAAGTTAATGCTGAAATTGTAAATGAATTATCTAAATGTTCTGGGCAATGAGAGGGTTTGCAAAAGTTTTGATTCAATAATTAAATTATTTAATAAATGTTTTATTGAATCTGAGCAAAGCTCAGTTTCCTGGTAGGCTACTACTCTTAAAAACTTAGCATCAGCACCATGCCCAAAGCCGCTGCCAATTGCATGTCATCCAATATCTCAGCGCTGTCGCACGAAATCCAGAGCTCCTGTATACGAAGGTAGGATAAGTTAGGTTAGTTTGCACTACAGTCGGTAAAACTGTATTCAGTGTGCAGGCGCTCAGGATTTCGTGGGACAGCGCTGAGCTATTGGACGTGGTGCAACTGACAGCGGCTTTGGACGTGGTGCAACTGCTAACTTACTCATTTAAAAATGCAAAATATGCTGGTTCACAACGACCATTCTTATGACTTCCAGAGCTTGCAGAAAGACTATGTTTATTGCAATTACTTTTGGGCATGATGAAATTTGGACGTCGTGTAATGCATCCTACAAAAATAATTCCATTTATTCAATGTAAAATAGCCAAGATTGTTATATTGAGATCCCAGTTTTATGACTACGGTAATTAGTAGGCACACAATCAGCCTAAGTTATAGAGTTATGGGGCTTTAACAAAATTAATATAGACTACTGTACCGGTACCAGTAACATAGCCTAACTCCTGTAACTATACAAAAAATAGGATAAGTTAGGGCCTACTTAATAGTTACTTAAGTTAAGGCCTATAATATTAACAATTCTAGGGTGTTGATATTGAATTGTTACTTTTTAATTTACCATTGGTAGGCATATCATATTAGCCTACAATTGTAACTTACAGTACCGGTAGTATTATCTTGTATAGACCAAACAAAAATGGACGAAACTTTGACCAAATGTCAGATATAACTTAACTCATACATTGTAGGGCCCTACGCCTTTTTGAGATTCCATTAAAAAAAATTACTATACTGAAAATACGTAGCCTATGAATGGACTATGGTGGCCTAGGATAAAATGTTAGACCCTATTACCTACAATTTTTGTATCGGCACTTTTAACTTAACTTGGTTTGAGTTAGGCTAAGTAAATTAACTTACCGGTACTGAACTTAATTCATTCTTGGCTTTAAGTGTTTGACAATTTATCTTGAATTCTAGACTGTCCTGAGGATATATTTCTGCAACGCATCCGAAAAGTTATTCAGTAAGTTAGGCCTATTATCACCCAAAACAGGGTCCTCTCCCAAGGAACAAGATTTGAGAGTTTTTAACACCAAGTTCTTGCTTACAGTAACTTTAGACATTGACTATTATGATTTGCTTTTTATTGGGAATGTTTTTTCAATAGTCTACATTCTCTTATAATATGCAAGTAGGCTAGAATAATCAAAATTGTATAAGTTTTTTAAGTTAGAGGGAAGTCTGTAAGGTGAATTGATTTGTAAATATAGGTAGGCCTAGGCTATACCAGTGGAGATACATACAAAATAAATGTGATAATTTAGGCATAACTTAGACTTGACTTAGGCCTATGCCATGGAATAAGAAAGCTGGACTGCTTTGACTTTGTCCCAGGGCTAAAAGTGCCAAGCTAGGCTTTTGTAGGATGATGGAAATTTTACAACACCATATGGAAAAAGGTTCTCTTTCATGAAAAGAGATAAATATATATAATCTTTTTAGTTCAAACTTTGCTTAGTCGTACTTACACTCTATATTTGGAATCCTTCATCAACTCATACTCTTCTAAAGCTATGGTCCCCATGTTTTCAGTAGGTTCCTTCTTTTATCACAGAACATACATAAAGAATACACTAATTTCAGTTGTAAGGAGAGAAATATTCGCACAACCCACGGGGTGGTAAAATGTACTCACAATTAGAACGTAGTAAAACTAAAACATCATACATAGTACACGAATACACACATTGACTGACAACGACAAGATAAGCAATCCATTCCAGAACAACAGACATTAGCAGAACGCAAAACTCGAAATGCAAACACACAACCTTATGACATGACTTGTGAACAGGGCTACCACGCTCGTCACATGTAATGATCGTTTACGTTATAGAGTATAACAGATGTATGAACAACCATTTACCATTTACCATCGAAGTCTTCGCCGCAGTCCTTGGAGACCGGGGAATTGTCAATTCTTTTTCATCTTTCTTCTTGCTAGCTTCTACAAGACAACAAATATAATACTAGATAAGAATTAAATGATTTTTTTACTCGCTGTATATTATATGTTACTAATTTATTGCCAATTGAGATGGAGACACCAGCTACATGTGTATTTCAACCCAAATATTCAAGTTAATGTGAATGATGAGTATACTGACTTTATAATCAATGCATGGACTTATCCAGGACTTATCATCCCATTGTACATTTTGAAGCTTTTTTTTATATCTAGCTCATGTTGGTGACACTGGGCGCTAGTGTTGACAACATTTCGTTTACTTTATGGTTAGTTGAGGAGATTGAGATGCCTTGTGTAACTTTACCACTTGGCATTTGCAACCAAACAGACCAGCTGCTTCATTAGCGTGGACCTGGACCATTCTTATAAAAGCTCAATGACCAAGTCATAAGTCATTGTCTTTATTGCCATTAAATACAGCAAGTACAATAGGCTCGTCATTTAAATAAACAAAACATGCAAAATCAAATCCATCAACAAACAATCTATCTATCTATATATTAATAGGCAAGCATGTTTCTTTAAAACCTTTTTTCTCAGCTCGTGTGCATCGTAGGGAAAATCTACGCATACCGTTGGAAAGCTATTTTCCTGTAGGTGTGCAGAATCCCTTTATAAATTTAAATAGGCTCAAAGATAAGCACAAAAAATAAGTTTAAAAGTTGTAAAAAATTAACATGGATCTTATGCGTTGCTATGCTGGTTACGAAATAACAACGAAATATAAACAGAAAATCAAAACAAATGGAGGAAACTCCAATCACATGTTTTATTTACAGTGTGGGGTGAAAATAGTTAAGTGAGTACATTACATATTTTTGGTCGAGTTTCGACCACTGGACGACCTCTCGTTCAAATAAATAAGCTCAAGTTATCAATAACAAAGATAAACATGGTCTGAGTTACACACCAGTAATCTTTGAGTTAACACAGTCATATTTCAAATGAGTTTAAAAGAGAGTTATTCGTTTTGAAATAACTCCTGTATACTTTGCAATTGCTCGAATTCGAGCAACATGTACACTAGTACTTACTTAATTAAATTACTGAAATAATTACGGGTGTTCAATATTATGTATTGACTTTATCCCAGACAGCACACTTTCTCCTCAGGACATCCCACGGATATTGCGACAGGATATGCAAGATATCCCATAGTGGTCCTATGGTCAACTTGGGATATCACAGGATATCCACAGGAATGCGTAATGTCCCCGCCCGGGGATGTCCTACGGATAAGCTCACACGCATATCCGTGGGACATCCGAGGTCATCCCAGGGTAGTCCTCAGGACATTCTCAGGACATATGGGACTACTATGGGATGTCCCTGGGATAAAGTGTGGTCTGGGCCTGAACATAAAAAACACAAAATAATATAGATTTAGTATGAAAAGCTAATTATAAGTTTAGTAAATTGATTAAATAGTTAATAAACACAAATTTTGAAGAAAAAAACGAGAAAAAAGTTTTTGGCCCAGACGGGTTTCGAACCTGGTACCTTCGCCTTGTGAGCCTCTTACCTTACCTCCTGAGCTATCTGCACTTGTTGATTATGGGTGTTTTCAAGTGGTTAAAGAGTAGCCGACAGTTGCAATGGTCGCAATACTTAAAATATTTTTGATACTACAGTATAGGCTATATATGATTCTGTTAATCTGTTTAGGCCTCAAGTAGTTGAATTGTTTTTCTGGTAGTTGGAGAGGATACTGGTATTTGAATATAGATTATTTAATCACCATTAGATTAGCACTGTAATAATTGATTGTTATATGATTAAAATTAGTTTTTTGTAGAATTAAATTCACATTTCACACGACTATGATAGAACTCTAATTTTCCTGAACTCAGTGGTAGTAATATGTTAGTAAAGTAAAGTCAACCCTTGCTAGCCATAGTATTAACAAGACATACCTATTTTCAATCTGGGAAACCTTAAACTTTTAAAATAAATTATAAAACCTCAACATCTTAAAGCGTGGGAATCTTATTTTTAGAAAAAAACAGACCAAAATTATTTGTTAAATAATGAAGACGGCCCAATTATAAATTCGGAATTACTGAAAATAATTACATCAAGAACAACACTGTAACATATCCAAAATTCAAAAGATTAATTTTTCTAATATTATTTTTTATTTTTCCAATATCCTTTAAATCATCTGTTTTAACTTTGTTTAAAATTAATTTATTAAGTAAATATTTACTTTCTGTACTAGTGTAAACACAGCCTGAAGATGGAAACCAAGTTTCTGAAAGCACTAGTGAAAAAAACAAATTATTATATATTGGCCTTGTTGAACATTTAAATTTAGATATACTGTACATTTCATCAGTGGAAGTATTTTTTTCTTCAGTTTGTTACCGGGACATTACGGGACATTACAGGATATCCAGTGGATTTTTTACATGTCCCGGGATGTCATGGGACATTCTGGGATATCCTATGGCATTCGTACATATCCCGGGACTTTACAGGATATCCTGAGGTTAACTTACAAATCCCGGGACATTACGGTATATTGTAGGATATCCTGTGGATTTCGTACTCGTCCCAGGATTTTGCGGGATATCCTGAGGATAGCGCACATATCCCGAGACATTCTCAGGACATATGGGACTACTATGGGATGTCCCTGGGATAAAGTGTGCTGTCTGGGATATCATATATATTGTCCACATTTTTTTGTCCAAATAAGCAATTTTTATACCTATACACAAACTAAAGCTGGGTACTAAGCTAAACATGCCTTAGAATCAATTTTAGGAACGTCGTTCTTTTTATGCCTCAGAAAATTATTGTCATCCAGATTTAACTTTTTCTGAGGAATAGTAATCATGTAACCCTGAGGATTATTTTTGAAGATATATTCCGCTAAAAAGTCTATGGGATCTTGAGGAATTTGAACAGCAACTTTGAAAATACCATTTGTCAAGGTGGGGAAAATATTATTGACTAAGTAGCTTATCAATGGATAGCTTCTTATTGCCAAAGTAATCTCTTCAACTTCATTCTGTTCAAGTTCCGTTACTTCATCTTTTATCCTATTTGCGACCTCGGGTTTTGATTTAGAAACCTGGTAATTTGTTTTCATTGGGTATTCCATATCTGAAATCGTTTCCACACATTGGAAACTTTCACTTGTACTTGATGGAACAACAGTTTCTGGATCTCTAAGATAGCAATATTTTTTAATAACGCACAACGTTTTATAAAACACATCATCTTCAGTGTCTCGATCAGTAAAATCTACTGTGGTTACCTTGCATTTTTCACCTAATTTCAAAAAGAATGACTCCATTGTATTAACAGTTTCATTAGTATGAAGTTCAGTTCTCACTTGTGTGTCTACAAAAGGTTCTCCTTTTAAGCTTTTTGATACAGCATCAGAAAGGTTGGTTGAAGTGCTCATTTTTAAATCTTGCTCGTGGTGTGTTGAAACCACTGAAACCCTATGGCTATTTTTTTCGGATCCTGTTTGCTGGCTAAGCATATCTAATTTTTGGAAACTTGTTTGTTTATTATAAAATATTACCAAGTCGGGACTGTTTTGAATGTTTGTGATTTCATCAGAATTAGAAGTTTCTCCATTATTTTGATAAAATATAATATTAGCTTCTTCTGGATTCTGTGGATATTCATTAAGGATATAGCCTTGGTAAATGTAAGGGTTTCTTTTTAATAATCTTGCCATAATATTTACATTATCTGATAACTTTGAAAGAGTTGCACCATTAGAAGTATAATTTTTTATTGCATTAATTATTGGTTCCACGTCTTCCTTGCATTTCTCAACATCACACAATACTAAACCTGGAGTTAGGTTGGAACTTTTCAAATTATGTATATTTTGCATTTCTGGTGAGCCGAGTAAGTTATTTCCCTCAATCATCGCTTGTTTATTAAGAATGTCTTCAGCATATTTTGATATTTCGTGTTGAACGTTTATGAATGGAATTTTGTAATAATTACTAATCCCTTGGACAGCATTTTTCAATTCGCCGCTATCTGAAACGTTATAGAATATCAATCGCAATGGTTTGTGATGTTTAGCCTCAACAAATTCCTTCACTATGTGGTTTATGTTTGCTGTAAAACCAGATTTGTAATTCCATGGTATATCTTCTTCTCTAAAGAGAGGATAACATGACTCCAAATAGACCTTGCTTGTAACTTTGTCAAATAGTTCTTGTGAGACCATATCATCAATAATCGCAAACTCTTTTGAATGAAATTCACAAATTCCTGTTCCTAAGCTTGAACTAATAGCTTTGGAAATATATATCATGTTACTTTGAACTGGATCCTTGGCAAATACAAAGGGAATTTTTACATGACCTATGTGCTTTATTGTGGTCTTTATAATTTGTGCAAGATTATCTACATGAACTATGGGTATAATGTTGTTTTCTTGTGAATATATTGGTACATGTGTGTAGCAGTAAGCCTTTTCAAAGATGGGATACAACTCATTTTCTTCGTAACCATAAGGTACACCACTTACAACTACTGCTGATTTTATTTTTTGCTCAAGTTGTGCTTTCACGATTTGTTCCTCCAATTCAAATAACAGTTGATAATTAGGGTGAGGAACTCTTATTCTATAATCACTTTCAATGAAAGGGAGTTCTTCGTCCATGCTAAGAGGTTTAGTGAGCGCCCAGGTCATAAAACTTGACACAAGAACAAATTTTGGCAATTCGTCAAATTTAGGGTTTCTATTACAATTAGCTTTACTTTCATCGATGAAATTGATTATGTTATTCAAAAGCCAAGCTGCTTCAATTAGTTGATCTAAGTTTTCATGTACACAATAAATTATAGTGCCACATTTAAGAAGTTCTTTGAGAAATTCAGGATCATCGAAGTTGTGTTTCAGAAGGATGACACCTTCAAAATCCTCTACACTTGTGTCCATAAAAGTTCCAACAATATCATATTTACAATTATACAAAATACTCTTTACAAATAAACAAGATAAAGACCAATGACCCGATTACAAATGAACAAAAGACTTAAACAAAAATAAATTTATGTAAAGCCAATAAGAACACAAAAAAGGTGCTTAACATGATTGTCATGGAAATGCAAATTAAAGGCACAAAGTAACATGGTTTTGCAATTACTTACTAGTGTCAAGCTGATTGCTCTTTTCTGATGAATTATTTGTATAATCCACATTTATCTCCTTTTTGGACATATTATGAAGTTTGTCTTTTACTTTTGGCACAGACGTTTCAGCATCACTAATTTTCAATTTTGATATTTCAACATCGCTTGGATTCGTCTTGGCAGAGCCAAAATCATGTTTATCATTATAACTAGGATAACTTTCATTCCGTAAATTGTCATTCAGGATAAGAGATACAATACGCTTTCCTGTAAATGAATCAATATGGTTTATGAAAATTCTGTTCGCAGTAAAATACTTTTCTTCAGTGATTTCTTCTGCCAGTCTTTTTCTCGCTGCCTCGCTAAATCCTAAAATATCATCCAAATTAAATGGTTGAGGATGAGGAGGAAATATTGGGGCAGAACTATAAATGTCAGATCCTCGTGATACATCAGATAAAGCATCCATTTTTCGTACAATTATTGTACTACAATATAGTTTTTATTGAAAAAGATTATGAAAGACTGTGAAATTATTCACATTGATTATCTCAATTGAGATATTCCATTAGAGTAAATATTATTAAATGTTGTTTATCATATGTTTGGCTAATTAATTGTGAATAATTATTTCCATAACAGAAAAAATTAGAATAATGTAGGTAATTTTAGAAAAGTTATTAAGTTCATATACCTACTGTAATTAATTTATGATATTAAATTGGCAAGTCGATGGCTCAGCACAGAGTATAGAATAAATATTTATTCTATGCTCTGTGATGGCTCAGTATATTTATGTTAGTTGGATATATTTTAATAGGAGGTGTTAAATTAAGGCATGCATCATAACTACAGATTGAGACATGGCCGGGCTGAGGGGGCATTGGCCTGTACAGTTTATGGGCCCTTAGCTTGGTTATCTTTGAGGTACAATTTATTTTAATGGGGGTACAAAATAGGTACTAAATAGAAGCATAGCTTATAACCACAGGTTACGACATGGCCGGGCTGAGGGGTCATTGACCTGTACAGTTTACGGACCCGTAGCTTGGTTTTCTTTGAGGTACAAATTATTTTAATGGAGGTACAAAATAGTACGAAATAGGTACTAAATGATGGTATACATATTAGGATCAAATTCTAAAATGGCCGGGCCAGCATGTCACTGGCACGGAATCCTAAAGTAATTAGTTATCCGGTACCGAGTGGGGTACTAATTTTTCGTTTGTTGGTACTAAATAGTACGAAATAGGTACTAAATATTAGCATAATTCTTATGTACTAATTCCGTCATGGCCGGGCCAGTGACATGGACGTTGATAATTTGGAGGTAGGGGTTCGAAACCCACCGGAGGCTTTAACTTTTTGACTCGATTTTTTTCATTATCAGCAAGTTTGGTTGGTTTGGTTAGGTTATGATAGTTTAATTTTACAATAAAAAATTATATAATTGATTTTGAGACATTTATAATTTTATTTTATGAACATAACTATTTTTGTTATTAGTAAACCTTCATAAGAGAGTATGTTTTATCTATGCACTGTATGATGCGTTCTGCACGGCGCGGTGGTGGGCGGTGGCGGTCTGACGGCAAGGTCTCGTGGCGCCAGCCACCACAGCCACAGCCACAGCCAGAGCCAGCGTCAGCGTCAAGCTCAAGCGTCATCTCTTCCGTCTGTCGTCACCGCGTACGCGCAGGGGCAGGAAAGAAAACAAAACAAAACAACAACTAACTAAAGAAAACCGGTATTTACTCAGGGGAGGTATAGAAGAGGCTACGATGACAGCTGTGGGCTTCTTATTAGCTGAGGGAACGCCATTACCGTAACAAAACGGTAGACAGCCATCGGCCTCGGTGGTCTAATGGTTAGCGTGCTGGGCTGATATACTGTAGGTCCCGGGTTCGAATCCTGCTGGTTGCATTAACTTTTTGTCCAAGATTTTTTTATAATCAGCAAGTTTGGTTGGTTTGGTTCGGTTATTACAGTTTAATTTTATTATTAAGTCATTACAAAATTTTAATTGAGCAAATTCTAGTTTTATTTAATTGACAGAATTATTTTTCCGATTACTAAACTTTTGTTATATTATTTCTTTATCAGCAAGTTTGGTTAGTTCGGTTAGGTTATCATGGTTTAATTTTATAATTAAAAAATAATAAAATTTAATTTGGGACATTTATAATTTTATTTTATGAACAGAACTATTTTTGCGATTAGCAAACCTTCATTGCCAAAGTGCTCTCTACTACAGCGCTGTTCACGGAGGAATTTTGAACTAAATGCCTCATTCGTACCTCCCCTAAGTCAGACCCAAGAAAACCCTGGAGGAGGAAACGAAAGTGTAAGTGTGTAGAGATGTGCCAAGCAGTTACTTGGGCGAAACAGCTGCAGCTAGTTCCAAGGTCGCCGTGGAACTCGTTCCAAAAGCAGTTCCAGCTGCAGCTGGTTTTGCCCGCTGCAGCTGGTTTTGCCGCTGCAGCGGAGCTATGGCTGTAGTGGAACGAGACAGGAGGGCGGATGAACAAAATCTCACTAATCTCAGTTTATTGCCATAATTTGAGACGGATTAGTTTAAGCTGTTCTTGAATTAGAATATTGTTTTAAATAATGCAAAATAGCGACTGTAAAGAAATCAATATCGTGTTTTGGAAATGTTGTACAAGTAATTCATTATTTTAGTTTGTCTATCTAGGGTCTAAAAATAATACGTGACAAGGCCGGTATAAATTATTTTAGAGGTTCTTCATATTATGCATTTATTCATATTACAAATTTTTTTATTGTTAAAATCATATTATTCAAACACCACTTACCCTAACTCTTAATATAAAATTCTAAAGTTAATAGCGAAAAAATCCTGAATTAAGTTAAACACAAAAAATTATTACGGTAGGTACTGATTACTCAGGAAGAGATAATTAAATTTGCATATATTATGAGCACGACTTAACTGAGACTGATGTACTTTTATTTAATTCCTGCCTGAAAAAATTAAAAAACAGAAAATGATAATTTTTCTTTTAAGGCATGTCAACCATATCCGCTAATCAAACCTTTGTTTACAATAGACCAAATAAGTCAAAACGCATCAGCTGCACAGGCTAGAACTTAATGTTTAGTGAGAGTATTAATAAACCAGCTGCAGCTGTATTGTTGTAACTGTATGTGTTTTACAAATCCAGTTACTCCGGAACTTATCTTTAAAAATTTACAATAAGGCTGCAGCTGTTTGTGCGGAACTACATTCAAATCGTTCCACCGAGCTGCAGCTGAAAAAGTAGTTCCAGTGGAACTGGAACTGGATTGTGGTTCCGCTTGGAACGGTGGAACGAGTTCCACTCTCGGAACGGTGGGGGTGGATAAATGTAGTTCCAGCTGCAGCGACACATCTCTAAAGTGTAGTTAAAAACCGACCAATTGAGGTTAGGAAACTAAACACCCGATTAAATTAAAATTCTGTCTTAACTTAAGCCAATCATTTTATTGAATGTGTTAACTGCTAAGAGATAAAGTGCACTGAAGTATGTACCACAAACTTTACTTATTTTATAAGACCTAAAAATAAAGAGTATCTAGGCCTACTTCATAGCATAGGCTAGGACTGTGTCCCTTTCAAATTAGGCCTACCCTAGTTCATGTAGAATAGTAAACGCCTTTCTGAATTTACTCAAAAACGTATCCATTATAACAGGGTGTTCAAAATTAACCTTTCATCATGCTGTCCGGAAAAAAGCCGTTTTTGGTTCTCAAAATCATCTATTTCGGGTAAGTTAGGGTTACTCCTAACTTCATAAAATAGAAATAAGTTAGGCCTAACATGGTAGGCCTAGGCCTAAATTTTTCGGTTTGATAACCTTAAAATTTCTTTATAAATCTATTTTTACTATTTGAAACACTCATTTTGAAAACGCTGCTAGGCCTAATCACAATTTAAACTAGGGTTGCTTTCAGAGAGGTGAAAGCCAGTTGAGCGGAACAAACGTGATTTGATATTTGTATAAGTAACTAAATGCAAAAAGGTCAATAGATTTATTTACTAATGCTGGTTTTAAAGATTAAAATTATAATAATTCAAATTTACCTCTTCGAGAAGTGTAAGGTAGTTTTGACCAGGAAAATATTACAGTAGTTGGAATCTGATATTAACATCCAAAAAGGGCATTAAAGTATAAAAAAGAGAAAGGAATTTTTATCAACATTTGAAATGACTGAATTGTTACCAAATAACTGTTTCACAAAATGCAGATTCCATTTTCAGCCGAGCCATTAAAATGAGGATTTGCCGAACAATTATTAATATTACAGAATAGTATATAATGATATACAACTTTTCACATTCCATAAATTATATGTTAGCCTAGTTTTGCTATGGTCAAAGATCCAAAACCAAATGTTCTCTTTTCTTTTGGTCAGTATGTAATAATTTGCTAGAATCATTGACTTTATATAAAGTCAAAGCTAGAATACTGTAGATGGTTTGTTAAGTTAAGACCATATGCAAGCATTTTTGAAATCGTTTCCCCGTTTAACCTTAACCAACTATTCCATTCCAAAAGATAAAAACTATATGGTGCAACACAAATAAACAACCCGATCACCTACCTATAACCTACACTTTACCTTCCTAATCTAACCTTACTTCAAAAACACTTAATGTAGTCACGAATACTTATAAACCCCGACCTATCTCCCCACCTGCCTAAATTAGATCAGTGTTCAATCTGCGTTTTATCAATAAGTGTAATAACTTACTGTACCGTTGATGTAATTCAACTTAATATAACCTATGAGGTATTATCGGATTAAATACCGATTTCGATGCGGTTCGATATATCGCTTATTAAATCCTGATTTCTAACATTGGCTGTTTCTAATCAGCTGGCAACACAAATAGCTATATAACCTAGGAACCTAGGTTCCCAAGAAAGTAGTCACCGGTCCGTATCCCTCCGCTCCTTGTTTATGCTCCGCGCATTGAGAAAGTAGTTCCGTATAATTTCTCGATTTTCAGTTAATTCCGCGCCTTAAAAAATGTTTTAACGGCATTTTCTTGTTTATTAAAATTATAGGAATGGTTTAAAAACGTTTAAAAGAAAAGTATAGAAAGTTCAGAAATACCTTATGATTCTCTTGTTTACATTTTCCTTGTAAACAAAAAAACTGTCATAGCTACTTTAGTCCCATAAGCCTAATGTTAAAAATTTGAAATTTTAAGTTTGTTTTAAATTGCATTAGCATTATCTAATTGAAATTTGTTTGTTTACAAACCATCTCATTATTAGTCTAAGTAGTCTTGTTAAGTTTGGCTGAAATGTGTTCAGCCGTTATTGAGTGATGGTGTTATATTGTTTGCATTGAAGTTGATCCCAAAGAGCTTCGCTCGCTCCGCTCAATTATGTTTGTAAACAACAGCAGACATAAACATTGATGATGACTTTGTATAGGCCATAACCTCAAATTATGTGGTCTAATTTTGCAAAGATTAGAAGGTCATTTCCTTATGAAGCTTAGCCTATAATGAAAATAGTTGTTCATCACTCGTAGCGAAAGTGTCGTTTTGGTAGGTACCTACTTAATTAAATTTCTGAAGATCGCGTACCAAAAAGAGCCACTTGTGTTCCTATGGATAAATATACGATATGCTACTATAGCGAATATTGATAAATTCTTTAAGGCTGTTGTAGGCAGTTGACCCATTTACAACTCAATCTTGAATCCAGGTTGATTAGTGCTAGTTTTGTAATGTTTAGGTTACATAGGCTACTATCACATTGAGGTTTGTAGCCTAAGATAATGCGTTCCCAATAAATTGGTTGTTTTTTTAATTGATCAAATCCAATTAAACTTGATGGGATTAATTTTTACCCAGCTTGAGTTCTCAGGTTATAACGATAGGTGCTGTACCAGTAGGGTTAAATATGATATCCAATCCAATTTCTGAAGAAGCTGTATTGCTAAAAATGAGCCCGTCGTTTTAAGCAATTGTAGCCTTAACTGATGCACTAGAGTAACTTAAATTTTAAAATGTAGGCTAATTATTGGAGTGTGAAGCAGACATGTTAAACGATGGAGCACGTCATGTTGTCTTTCATATTATCCTGGTTTACTATAGGCAACTGTCATTTTTAATAATGTCTTTTTCATAAATCAACCGATCTTGTTTTAGCAACAATGGAAGAACAGTCACAAAAAAGTTCTGAAGATTTAAGCGCAGACGTTAAATCAACGTCGGAAGCATTAATGCTAAAACCACCCACACCCCTCTTGAAAGTTGAAAGGGAAGGCAATTGTTACTGGTAAGCCTGCATGCAAATTTAAAAGAATTGTGCTAAGTTAGATGCAAATATATACGATGGTATAGGTGTTGTTTCTAATTTGGTAGGCTACTTGTTTAGTTTAGGGCCCCTACCGAATTAAAAAACAAATATAGGCCTATTTATTCCCCATAATATGGCCATAAACATTGTCTGATTTCTTTGTCCCTCTTATACCTTTGAGGAAAATTACTATATCACCTTGAAAATCACTTTTTTTTAGACCCAAAATTAAACAAATAGAGCCTAGACCTCATTATTTTATTGGACTACCAAATATTTTTATCTATTTGACTTAGGCCTACATTAATACCCAAACCTTCCCAATTGGGACAAAGTTTACCAACTAGTCTTTTTAGCGAATTTCCCTATTGGGAAGTACCAAATGGTTGCTCTTATTTATTATACCGTAGGTCTCATGGTAAGACCTAGGCCTGGGGCCGATTTACTTTTTCATTTTGATGTCCCCTAATTTATATATATGTGTGTCCACCCGGACGATAACTTGGAATAATTTTTGTCCCATTTGATCAAGTTTGAAGGTGTAAGGCGGGATAAACTTGAATGAGTTCGCATTCAAACCAGCATGATCGGACCATGGGAACGGGGTTTAACGGGGGGTAAAAATGGGTTTTTCTAACTTTTTACTCTTAAAACACAAAATTTGTCAATTTTTCTCCAACCCCTTTTAAAGAGCTTTAAAAAAAAACAAATAATTTAGTATATCAAAGTGTTTTTGTACGGTGAATGGTTAGGGAGAAAATTCAAAAAATTGTTACAGTAATTTAAAATTCCCAGTTATTCTTATGGAGAATATTGTAAAATGTTGTAATTTGCTAGTTTATGGGTGTATTTTGATAAAACTTGGCAAATTTAATTGATTTTATACTAAGCTATAATTATTTTACTTAAAAACACACTTTTTTAGTTTGCTTGTAGCAGCAAACCTAGGTACTCGTTAAACCTAATGTTATAAAAATAGATTTATTGAAAATCAATTCAGGCAAATGGAAATTTGCTTAGATGGCAGGTTTGCTGCGGCGGGGGTATATTAAACTCTGTTACATAAAGTTCGGTACTAGCCCATCACTGTTTTTAGATTAATTATCGTTATTACCATTCATATGCCCTCATCTATAAAATGCCTGATATTTGCTGATGGAGACATTTTTGTTGCCTCCAATAAAAAAAATAAGTTAAACGTCTTACATTTATTTTAGATAGGCCTACCATACTTACTTATTTGAAAAAACCTTAACTTTTTAAATAAGACAGAGAGAGAGAGAGACAGAGGGACCCTCGGAAATTGTTTGAAGTGTTTTGGATGCCTTAATACAGATACCTTGATTCTACTCGTATATATAGACAAATCTAGACTGCAACGTTAATAAAACATCCTGGTTAAGCTGTAGATTCTTCTTTCCTCTTCTTTCTTTCTTCAGTTCTTGAGGTTTATTTTGATATGGCTAATGCTGATTGTATTTAGTTAAATCAATTACTTATGACCTTTTAGCACTAGGCCCTAACACATAACTTTCTGAGTTAGGTTTTCTTTCTACTTAAGTCTTGAGTCTTTTAAGTCTCTTAAGACAAATGCTCTAACCACTAGACAATCTTAATCCCTTTTTTTAGCCAACTCATACCATTTTAAACTGTTTTTTTTTGCCTTGGTGGTTTTTAAGAGCATATAGGCTAACTTATACTTTTATATTGCTGTACAATACTTAAATATTGTTTGGATTATTTATTTTGCTCTTAAATGTTTCAGCGGCAAGGATAGAAACCTGAATATTATTGAGCTACTTTGTGCCAGTTGCAGCAGATGGTTTCATGAATCGTGCATCGGCTATCAACTCGGAAAGCTCGTACCTTTCATGATGAACTATATTTTCTTCTGCAAAAACTGTTCCCCCACAGGATTAGAAAGTTTTAAGAAAAATCAAGCATGTAAGTACCTAAGCCTACTAGACATGTATAATTAAATTTAAATGTTTTTGTTTATTGGTTAAGAGAATGGTCCCTCATATAATTCAGATTGCAACTATTTGAGAAATCAACACAGAGTATAATAAGCCAATAACAGTTTAATCAGGTAAATGCAAAAAACTTTTAGTGTAAAAAGAGGCCAGATGATATTTCCTGATGAGATGCCAATGTTAGCTTGGCTGATTCTTTCTTTGTTGTCAGACGATTTTTGATCATTTTGAAAACCTCAATTTCATTATGGCAAAGTACTTGATCGTTTTTTTCAAATGTTGAACTCAAACACATTTTTTTAATGATTCTGACTTGAAGAATATACCACTAAGGATTTCTGACCTTATAGGGGCCCATTGTGATAGTGTCACTTTATTTACCACAAATTTGAATAGAAATGAAATTATCAAATACAGCCTAAATATATTGATTAAAAAATATAAGGACAAAACGCTTGAATACCTACAAAACTGGTGAGTAAGAACATTTAACATACGGTATCCCAAGTTGACTGGTAGTGAATTGAATATTGATTTCTGGCCACAGGGGGTGGGGGTTCTTGATGTTTTTATACTAATGTGCTTTATAAAACTACAAAACCTTTAAAAAAATCACCAGTATGATGAATATGTCCAGGCAAGGCCACACTAAAAAAACAGGCGGTAATGCTCGTCAAGCATGACGTCACGATAGAAGACCGCAATGACGTAATGTTTGATATTTTTATTTTTGTGACAGAGGATATTTATTTATTTATTTTCCAAGGAAAGATTAAAACAAGCAGCTGATCACAAATGGCAAAAATACGTCATTGCCGTCTTCTATCATGACGTCATGCTTGATGAGCATTACGGCCTGATTTTTTTTAGTGTGGCCTTGGTCCAGGCCTATGTAAACATTTTATATCCTCTTCACTCGTAGTGCTCGCAACTGTTTTTTTGTTTCCTATACCTCTGGCTTTTTAAAAAACCTTTTTACAAGGGAACAGTTCAAATCGTGGTCCTGTTACTATGTTTGTATTTAGAATGTAGTGTAATGTATAACGTATCTTGAAGACCTATTTTTTTTTAGTATTCCCACAAATGTGTGTGACAGCAATTGGTAATCTAACGCAAGCAAGTATAAAAGAAGGATGTCCTCGTACAAAATTTAGCAAAGAAAAAGATATAATACCGTTTATTGAAGCACACTGGGAAGGAATGACGACCACCTCCAGAAGGGTTACACAATCCTGGCATTCAACCGTAAGTGGCAACTTCAACAAATATAACATACAAAATTTTACCTTTAGGCTATACTTCTAGGGGATTGTTTAATAATTGGGCTTCTCGATGACTTATCCAAAATCAATGATTGTCAATTGTAATTTTAATTTATCATTATAGTTAACCTACTATGCAGCATGCAAGGTCCATTTTAATACTCTATAGAACTCAAAAAAATTCTATAAATTATAATTTTTTTATTGGATAATATTAAGTGATATTAACTGTGTACTCAATAAATTCATAAACAATATTCGTAAATCTAGAAACATCCAGTTTAAGCCATACTTGGAGTTTTTCAATAAAATATAAAATCATTTGCAATACCAATTTTCAGGATTATTTTTAATAGCAGCAAATAAGTATAAAAACTGCGTTTAACTAACAAGATATTATTCTTACAAAGTCTAATAGAAAACTGATGATAAATTACCACTGTTATCAGCTATAGAGGAAGTTGATAACAGTCAATGTAGGCCAGTACTCGCAGTCAATACTCTGGATTTAATCCAGCTTAAATCCATACATTTATATATTTTTATAGATCTTTAATGATAAATGTCTCTGAAATCTTAATTTTTGTGCTACTATTTTCTTAGGTGATCACTACGCCTAATACAATTTAAATCTTACAGCAGGTAATCCAGATTGAAATTGTGACTGTTAAAAATCAATGAGTTGTGTAACTTTAGATTGTTTTACATACATTTTCCCATTAAAAACCTTACTTTTTTATAGAACTGAACAGTGAAATGTTATTAATTTATTAATATTAATGTTCCACCTACTAGAAAATCAATTTACATAGTTTTTCAACCAAATTACCAATATTTGATTTATAGATGGTAGTTATGAAAATATAATTCCATGACCCATTTCTTTTTGTTACCAAGATGATTCCTGTATCCCATCATTGATTCTTAATGCCTTTTAAATGATTATAGATGAATGGTTACTTTGAGTTTAACTAGATATTTAATTGAAAGCCAACAAGTATTGTAAATGAAATTTGTAAAATTAGCTATAGGCTACTTGAAAATTACTTGCTCAGAAGGGTAGTAAGGCTGGACCACTATATATTATTTATGCGTGCTTGGTAATGATATCTTGTGAGCAATTTTGATACTAAAATAGATCCAAGTCAGTGTCTATGATAAGAAGAAGTCTCCATTATGGCTGCTAATCTGATGTAGATAAAGTTTGATAAGGCATAAAAGGGGCTAGCCGATGTAGAGACTATACTGGTCCTCAAACAATTTTGCGCCGTTTATAAAATTGTGACTTGTACGTTTAGCCAAAGCTAACCAAGCAAAAAAAATTAAAGTTTTCGTCAGCATTTTAAATATTAATATATATTAATTACGATAGGTAGAATATTAGAATAGGTAGGCTAAAAAAAGTGTTAGGTATTTATCGTAAAAACAATATTGATTACAGGTTCTACGATGTCTGATGAAAGAGACGAACGTGTTGTTCACATGTGAGGAGACGGAGGAAGGTCCTTTGTACAGTCTGCTCAACACAGAATTGACTCAGATAAAGCCTAACTACGATGCAATGATACGCGGAGGCTCTCTCAAGGTCACTGATATGGGAGTGCAGCAAGGTATCGAGTTAGGATATTTTACTCTTTTAAAAGTACATGATATGTTGTCATTTTACAACTTTCAGTTTGTCTCGTCGTAATACCATAAGAGTTAGAGTCCTGCTTAGCTAATCCAAACCCCGCTAATTGGAAAATCTGCATTATTGCTACAGGATTATGGGAGAAAAATATCAACCTCTCTCTCACACAATAAATGTTATTTAGTGGAGTTGTAAAGCGCTGAAGAATATTCCTTTCATTGGACCTTTTTAAAGCAAGTTTTAAACTGTAAACTAAATTATTAAAGGTGCTGAGAACATTATTTGTAAAAATATCTCTTGGGTAAAAAGCATTACAAATATCAATTACCATACAACAATTTTTTCATAAACAGATTTTTTCCAATTTTCATCATAGTAGTAAACAAATATTTTAATATGAAAAACTTCTCTACAAGCAAAGTTGTGCACCATTTTGCATTTAACCATTTACAGTTGATCACTATTTTCCTTTTGTCATTTTAATTTTTATAGGTTGTAGAACATAATTTAATTTGCATTTAATAATGATTTAGTCACAAAATGATCTAAAACAACTAGCCTAGTAGTTTTATGTGGACCTTCATGTTCCTTAATTAATTGAATGTACAGAAGAATAAACAGTTTTGTAAATAAACAAAGCACATTTTTTGCAGTTAGCGGACTGGGTGTAGGAAAGGGCCGTGGGGCGAAGCGTAAGGTCCTGGGGGAGGGTACGCAAGGTCCTGGCAAGAAGGGCCGGGGCGGAGACATGGCGGCTCCCAAACTGCCCGCCCACGGCTACCCCATGGAACACCCTTACAACAAAGACGAATACCGCTACATACTGGCCGAACCTGATCCACATGCTCCCTTCAGACAGGTCTGTATGTAAAACATTTAGTTAGTGTGGTTAAAATAAATAAAATACACTGGGTTGTTAAGAACACTTTTACCTAACATTTTTGAACCCTTGTTGACTGTGTTACAAATGCACCTCATTACAACAATTTTCTGTGTGGTAGCTATAGGTACTGCTAACCCATTCGTAAAATCCAATGACAACAGCAATGCACTTGCATTTGAATGTGGCACTCGTCTCGCCTGGCCTATGGTGGCTGAGTTGACTAAGGCGTTGTACTGATATGTGTAACTTAGCCGGTGGGAGGGCCACTTTACAATAAAGGTATCCAGCTTTGGTGGGAGTTATTGATGGGCACTAGTGAGTTGAATAGAGGTTGTACACCTATTTTGCTTCTTTTACACTACTATAGAGGAAGAGGACACTGATTGTTTTTGCTTTAATTTTAGTTGAACATAGATGTAGGCCTATTGTTTATGTACAGTAGGCCAATAATAAAATAACACTCACAATATTTCATAAAAAAATAACATGTGCCTAAGTGAGTGTTGCTGCTTCAAAAAACTGATATTTGATTGATATGCTATTGAAATGCATAAGCCATAAAGACAAAGCAAAATTACCTAAAGAACTACATTGATAAAGATTTTACCAAACAAATTCAATCGATTAAGGACCTAAAAAATATATTTCCCATTCAATGGGGTAGTCTTGGTAGAAATGTCGTACATATGTCCTCATTTCCTCAAATAACATAACCTTAATTTTAAGAATTGTTGGTTGAAAAACCACAAATACTCTGATTTATGTAGGGTAAGAAAATGTGGATTGTTCAGCACAATCTATTTGTGTTACAAGAAGAAGCAGAAAATATAATTATTTCTTTTTACATTTAATTGTTGCAAGTTAACTGACTGGATGGCAGAGTGGTTGAAGTGCTCTAAATCCAAAGGTTGTTGGTTTGATTCTTTAAGGATCGATCCTGGACCTAATTGTTATTTGTCTTGGTATTAATTAAAAATAATTTGAATTATTATAGTCTTAGTGGGGAGCGAGTTCCAAAAACAGATTATTTTCACCTGATATTTATCCCTATCTGATTGGGCTACAGCTTCAAACCATTGGGTCACTATATCATAACACTGCTAAAGACCAATCGTGTTAGAAGTCCATCTTCCTGTTGGACTAAACCTTAACTAGGTGGCGTTCGCAGAGGCATCCACAAATTGAGCGGAGTCATCAAGGGTTCATATTATATTGTGTTTGTCATACTGCAGTAAAAACAGTCGTTTTTAATGCATGCGTTGCGGGTCTAAAGTAGCATTTTTACTCTTTAGGGAGTAAAAATAGATTTTAGCCTCTATGGAGTAAAAATCAGCTGTTGTCAACTCAGTTGTACATTTCCATTGTAAACGATTCCATGTATCGACATATGTATCGATTCGTGCTTCGTAATCATTTTAACCTACAGTCTACAGTCTCTTCCCATAGCATTTTAACATTGCAGATACATTAATCCATTCCCACACTCAACACTGATCACCTTTACTACTTCCTTCACCACCCCCTACGTCGTGGACCTGTTTCCCTCTCTTCCCATAGCATTTTAGGATTGCAGATACAATAATGTAATTGCGAAAGACAGTTCCCACACTCAGCACTTTAAGCCTTACTACTTCCTTCACCACTTCCTACGTCGTGGGGCCTGTTTCCTTCCCTTCTCATAGCATTTTAGGATTGAAGATACATTAATCTAACTGGCACAGACGGTTCTCGCACTATGCTCATACTTTACTACTTCCTAAGCCACTTCCTACATCGTGGACCTGTTTTGATCACTTTACATAGCATTTTAGTATTTTAGATACGTTAATCTAATTGCCACAAACATTTCCCACACACCGCACTGCTAGCCTTTACTACTTCTTTCACCATTTTCTATGTCGTGGGTATGCTTCTATCCCATCTCATAGCATTTCAGCATTGCATATACATTAATCTAACTGCTACAAACGGTTTCCAGTTCCCACACTCCACACTGCTCACATAACTACTTCCATCACCTCTTCTTACGTCGTGGACCTGTTTCCCTCTCTTCCCATAGAATATAAAGATTGTAGATACCTTAATCTGATCGTTATACACAGTTCCCACACTCCGGACAGCTCGCATTTACTACTTTCTTTAACACTTCCTACGTCACGGACCTGTTTCCCTCCCTTTCCTTAGCATTATTGGATTGAACTTACCCTAATCTATTGATCATAAACAGATCCCACACTCCACTCGCCTTTACTACTTCCTTCACCACTTCCTACGTCGCGAACCTGTTTTCCTCCCTTCCCATAGCATTTTAGGTTTGTAGATACCTTATTCTAATCGTCATAAACAGTTTCCACACTCCGGACAGTTCGCATTGACTACTTCCCTCACCACTTCCTACGTCAAGGACCTGTTTTCCTCCCTTCCCATAGCATTTTAGGATTGCAAATACCTTAATCTAATGGTCATAAACAGATCCCATACCCCGAACAGCTCGCTTTTACTACTCCCTTCACCACTTCCTACGTCACGGACATGTTTCCTTCACTTCCAATAGCATTTTAGGATTACAGATACGTCAATATACTCGTCATAAACAGTTCCCACACTCCGGACAGCTCGCCTTGACTACTTCCTTCACCACTTCCAACGTCGCGGACCCGTTTTCCTCCCTTCCCATAGAATTTTAGGAATGCAGATACCTTAATCTAATCGTCATAAACAGTTCCCACACTCCGGACAGCTCGCCTTGACTACTTCCTTCACCCCTTCCAACGTCGCGGACCCGTTTTCCTCCCTTCTTATAGAATTTTAGGAATGCAGATACCTTAATCTAATCGTCATAAACAGTATCCTCACTCTGGACTGCTCGCCTTGACTACTTCCTTCACCACTTCCAACGTCGCGGACCCATTTTCCTCCCTTCCCATAGAATTTTAGGAATGCAGATACCTTAATCTAATCGTCATAAACAGTTCCCACACTCCGGAGAGCTCACCTTGACTACTCCCTTCACCATTTGCTACGTCGCGGACCCGTTTTCCACCCTTCCAATAGAATTTTAGGAATGCAGATACCTTAATTTAATCGTCATATACAGTTTCCACAGTCCGGACTGCTCACTTTTACTACTTCCTTAACCACTTCCTACGTCACAGATCTCAAGCTAGTGTCGTCATTTGATTATATTTATGATCCATACCGTTTCTGTTCTAATATCTGTGGATTAATGCTATCAGCTATTTCTTTATCTACTGCATTCAAAAGTCAACAGCTGATCATATGTTTTTGTTTATGTGTCAAATACTGCTTCCATAAGGATTACATTGAAACTTTGAGACCCAGTGGGGCGGATTCCTGGGAGACTTTTTTAATGCCATATAGATGTTGGCACTCACCGATAAGGTCTTTATCACCATGCAAAATTTGAAAACGATTGATTCAGCCGTCTAGGAGGAGTTTGCGTATTACGAAATGCATAAAAGTCGACGTATAAGAGCTTCGCTCGCTCCGCTCAAAAAACAAGGTTTTGACCATTCCCTTTTAAAAATGCCAATGTCGTTGCAGGAGTTTGACGAAAGCAGTGACTGGGCAGGCAAGCCGATCCCTGGCTGGCTTTACCGCACTCTCAGCCCCAACTCTGTATTGCTGGCTTTACACGACCGAGCCCCTCAACTCAAGATATCAGAGGATCGGCTGGCTGTGACCGGGGAGAAAGGCTATTGTATGGTACGCGCCACTCATTGTAAGTGTTCGATACTACAACATGCGTCTACTCATTGATACTGGATAAATAACTGATTGATTGATTGATAGTGATATAGATTAGTAATGCGTCAAAACCGAATCTCAAATCTTAAAAATTAAACATTTCTGGTTTCGACCATTACTATTATAGATGGACAGATTAATTTCTTAATGCCTCCCTTTTGTTTATGTACAGTATGTACTTGGTAGGACTTTGGAGTTAAAAATGTTTGAATAAGTTCATAAAAGAAGAATAGGGGAAGGTTTCATATAACCTGTGTTGTGTGTCTGTAGGTGTCAGTAGAGGTATGTGGTACTGGGAGGCCAGTATAGAGGAGATGCCAGAGGGGGCGGCCACCAGACTCGGCTGGGCTCAGGAGTATGCTAACCTACAAGCACCTCTCGGCTACGACAAGTTTGGCTACTCCTGGAGATCAAGGTACTCTCAGGCTATATTTTTCTAACTCTGATTTCATCCGCATGATAAATTAATTTTATGTACAATATAAGGACCTATTCACAGGGCCACCATGGTGGTCGGTCAAAATGTGCATGAATCACCAGCTCAGCCACCAATGCAGCTACAGCCTGCAAAGCTCACAGTTTAATCCGTTTAATCATGGATGTCAAAGAAGCTGGTGCTTTAGCATATATATTTTGAAATTGCGAAAATGTAAGAAAACTCCATTCATTTTTTCAGTTTCAGTAGCATCTTCTTTTCCGATGAAGATATCTACCATTTCCATCCACACCTTCTTCGCATCTCTGTCTGAGTACACGTTGGATGTCATGTCCCTGTCCAATATTGCAGGCCTATTTTGTATTTCCAATATGAAACGCTCCGTATCTACTCTATCCGTACCGGTATTCATGATCTGTAGACCTACGTTTAGCACTCCACTAGTAGACTGAGTACCTAATGCCCGCTGGTAGTGACCGGTGGCACTGCCAGTCGCTCCAATGTGAACAGTCCGATAAGAAACCATGGTGCGACGTGGTGGCGCCACCAGACTGGTGTCTTTGGAAATCGCAACCCCGAGCCACCGCATTTCTGGTAGCGCGGCCATACGCGCCACAAACGCTCAGTGTGAAGATGTCCCATTTAAATCAATACCTACTAATGTAACGTAGCCACCATCGTGGCCCAGTGTGAAGGGAGCCTAATGGTGTTTTTCAATACTAGTGCTTCATTCACTTCAACCACTTGATATATCTGTATATTAATACTAGTGGCTTGTAGGGACATAAGTCCCTGAAAAGCTCAAATGTAAAAAATCATTGTAATTTTTAACAAACTCGGAATTAAATTATCCATGTGTCAGACTAGATATCCCTGTACTCCATATCTTTTTATATTTTTCCCGTCGTCATGGGATCGAGACCTTTAATTTGAGCCCTCTCTCGTCGTTCTACGACTTCTCATTCGCCCACAATTTTGACGCAAAGAATCGCCTTACTTAATTAATATATAGATAGGCAGGCAAGTATGTTTCTTTAAAACTTTTTTCTCTAAGCTTGTGTGAATCGCAGGGAAAATCTATGCATACTGTTAAAAAGATATTTTCATGCAGATATGCAGAATCCCTTTATAAATTAAATAGGCTAAAAAATAAGCACAAAAAAATTAAATAACATGGGCATGGGGCTGCCATGCTGGTGACGAAATAACAACAGAATAAAAACAGAAAATAAAAACAAATGAAAGAAATTACAATCACATGTTCTATTTACAGTGTGGGGTGAAAATAGAAAAGTCTGTACATTATATATTATTTTTTACCTCTAGTATACATTGATGTTAATTGATTTATCGTATAATATTCCAGGAAAGGTACAAGGTTCCACGAGTGCCGAGGTAAACATTACAGTCCGGGCTACGGTGAAGGAGATGTCCTCGGCTTCCTCATCATCATGCCAGACGAGACAGGCAACACGTACATACCTCAGACCTACAAAGACAGGGTAAATTAAATGAAGGTCACTGGTTTTTATCCAAGCGAGATCGTTTCTAGACCCAAACATTATTTGTGATTGGGCTATGAATTAATGATGCTATCTAACAAAAAGGTTGACGTTTGATAGTAACAAGACCAGGGTTGGACCGTTCCCTTTTAAAACGTAAAAAATGACACTGTCTAGAAATACACAAAAAAAACCCTGACAACATCAGCTGTAAACAAATTGAAAAACATATTTACATTTTGACTTCTCTTAAGATAAACCTTAATTTAAATAGAACTACGAGATTTACAACAAAAATTGGCTTTAGAAGTATAAATAACTGTTAAAATATTATAGAAGATTTTTACAAAAAATATCTACGTCTGATTGTGGATTGTAACTTGGAATCATAATTTTTTAAAGTTATAGCCTACACAAAACTAATTCATAGTCAAACACAGCCTACAAAGATTATAAAAGTTTTTAATATCTAAATAACATAAATAAATTATAACTTATACTCTGTTCACAAAATTTAGGTGATTTAGGGGAAGAAATCTATCCTCTCCACCTGATCCTACCCCTGAAATAATAGCTCAACAGCTGAGTTATTCCAAAACATCAATCAGCTGTGACATATGCAAAAAAAGTAATGTGGGAACGTCTCCTCAAACCGCCTAAATTTTCTGATCGGAGTATAATACATATTCATGTTGATTATTATAATTATGTGTGTAGGAAGCAATGACATAACAAATCTAACATAAAAAAATTAATCTGCATATGAAATCAATTGCGTGGGTCTAAATTAAAGGGCTTATGGGAACAATAACTAGTGAACATAGAATTTAGATAAAGTAGGCCTAACTCAATTTATGTAATGGAAAAACGCTCAATTTTTTGTGCGAACATAAAGAAAAAGAATATTGTATAACAAAATGGGATTCATTAAAATCGTAAAAAATACTTGATCAATTAAAAAATTATGCCATTCAATACTTCAATACTTTCTTATTAAATGGCGACCATATAAAGTAGATATTTTAAGCCAAGTATGAATAGAGATGAGTGGCGCGATCTTGTAGTCTTGTTAGTGACTAAGGCCGACATTCCTTAGACACAGCTGTTAATTAATAGCCCATACAGCTAATGGCAACTAAGGGACCTACAGTTTATAGTGGAATCCAAACCACATTTTTGCCTAACGAATTGGTCTAATTATAAGGATAGTACTCCGGATAGTCTTAGTACTAAAAATTTGATGTGTTGCTATTATTAACTCGCTTATTCTTTTTTATTGCTTTGTTTTCATACTACTTTTCTTAAGAACCCAGATTAGGCACATTTAGAATGTGGTGAATGTCCAATTGAAAGATGCCACTAACATCTTTCCTTTCACAAGAAATAAAAGTAAGTTTTATCCTTAACACAAATTATTTAAAGAGAAAATCTGTTATTATTCTTTAAATATATTTTCCCTAACATAAAAATGTTATTTCTTTCTTCTTTCAGCCGTTAGTAAAATTCAAGAGCCACCTGTACTACGAGGAGAAGGACAGAGTAAACGAGTCATTGAAGAACCTACGTCCCCTAAAAGGCAGTAAACTGATCTTCTTTAAGAATGGAGAGTGTATGGGAGAGGCGTTCTTGGACATTTTTGCAGGCGCTTACTTCCCTGCCCTCTCTATACACAAGAGCGCAACCGTCAGCGTTAACTTCGGACCAACCTTCAAGTGTCCTCCCATCACTGACTACGACTACCGGGGCGTAAGTATTTTAGGATTACCCACGTTTTACATTTTTTTATAGACCATGCTGGTATTATTTTGCAATATTCAGTCTTCTAATAAACACGGTTCCAGGTGAGTTCTTAGAAAAATTGTGGTTAAGTGGGTGGAATTTGTAAATTGAAAATGAAGGTGGTTAGAATTACAGAACATGCTTTGTAAAGTCCCTTGGTAGCAAGTAGTTAGACGTAGTCAATCAGACCACTTTTCAAATTGGAATTTTAAAAAAGTGCTTTATAAGTAGATTCTTGATATGATTGCGAGTAGTTGTAGTTATGCTGAGTCAACTAGATCACTTTTCAAATTCCTTTGATTAATGTTTCCTTTTCACCTGTACTGTAAATCTAAGAATATAAATGTCAATATAGAGGCTATTTTATTACAAGTTCAGATCTAAATCAAATATTTCCTTGGGATTCTTTTTATCAAGCAAATGTTGAAATTTACTAATAAAAATTAGGCTATTCATAAATAAATTCAAATAATTATTATTAAATTTTAGGGTTCCATCAAAAGAATTTTTTTTAATTAATGCTAGTTTACTAGAAAAAATACAAGTGTCTTTAAGTGTTTGTTTAACACTTTGACAGTCTTTAAATATTAATGTTGATTCTTTTCCCTCCCTAATATAAAATTTAAAAAAACTGTCTTACTTACAAATTTACCAAAAATGAATTCAACAAAGAACCTTTATAATTTGGTAACACTAATAATTGAATCTATTTTTTTAAGTCAATGCTTTTTAAGTTAGGTTTAAAATTTCAATCCAGATTCGACTATATTACAAAGTGCCGTGATTACTGTTTTTATTATTTGTGTTGGGCTATTGCTTAAATTATATTAACTTTTTATTTGAAAAGTTGCTTGATTTAAATTTAGCGTAGTCTACTCCGCAATGTGATGCAAGGTGAACATTGAGTTGATCTTATCAATAACATTTTCTCAAGTCATCAGCGAACACTTTGTAGAAAAGATGATTCGAATAATATTTGTAAAAAAAAAGAAGTTCTCTAAATGACCTCAGTATTTTGTTCAACAGATGCACGAGAAAGCGGAAGAAGCGATTTGTGAACAGACCATGGCAGATCTACTCTACCTCACTGATAATGAAGGCAAATTACGCTTGGATACGTATTGTGTATAGTATCAGTAGATGAACACGCTCATGTTAGTGCGTGTTCATACACGATTGTGCCTCAGCGACTCGTTCCTATGTACAGTCAAGGCTAGACACAAGGAGAAGGCTTTACCTTGATGGTCAAAGCTTTCTCAGTGTCCTTCATTAGAAGTTTAGTACACTTCGCTTACCTTTCGATGAAATTGTTGTTGGACAGGGTAACAACAAAAGCTGTGAAGGCTTTAGTTATAAGTGATATTTGAACTTTTAAGGTTGCAGTTTACAGTTTGCATAATTCAACATCTCTCAGTAATAAAGTTAAATGTTTGGTATTTTGTGACTTTATTTAAAAACAACTTTTTTATTTGAAAAAATGCAAATTCTTTTGTTTAAAAAAAGGAAATCATTAGTAAATAGTTTATAGAACCTTATTACCTCATTTATGTCTTTTTGAACTAATTTTTACTATGATTTTGAGGAGGATAGAACAATTTTTACAAATATTTCTAACTTAACACATTCGCTGCGGTACACTCACCGGTGAGTGCTCTAGTTCCTTTCTGCCACCCTGAACGCTCACCCGTGAGTGGTGACATTGCCTACATTCCATTCAATTTCTGCACAACAGTACTTCGGGAAGAACAGGTATTTTTATGTCTGCGTTTAGCTAGGAATGGGTGCTTTATTGTGGTGAAGGTTGGTAGTAAATTTCCCTGTAAAATCTCCTGGCAAGCTTAGAAATCAACTTGTTGTCCCGTCTTTCTCCCTCCAATTGGCAATACAATGGGACCGGCTAGTTCCAGACAGTGCTGCTATCTGAGAGTGTTTCTGCAAACTACGTCGGTTCTCGTCATGTCGCAGAATATCACCGCACGTCATTTGCTATTCGCCCGACCGAAATATTTTAAAGCCAAACTGGTTTGCTCGACGCTGCCCTGCACCGGGGCCACGCCTGCCATTGATGGGGCCGCAGCGAACATGTTAAGTTTCAAACTATAGTGGTTTAGAGAAGTAGAATTCAAATCACTTGCATATGCACTGCAAGGTAGGTGTAGACTGCAACCTTATTTAATTAGTAAAACTGTTTGAAAATACTTTTTCACCACACTATGATGTTTTTAGCTGTTTTACATACGCTAATTGGTGGCTGAAAGTTACGTTTTGCTGGCCATGCCAGCTGTCATCGTCATTTGGGGACCGAGCAGGGTTTTACATCCTTAGGGCCGCAAAATCAGCTGCCCGCTTTCTTTCTTAAAACATGAATGCATATTAAATACACAATCAGTATCCATAGCATTGCAATAGAATTGTTTTACTGTCACTGCTGCCTAGCAACTATCTATATAATTAATACGCTACATGAAACTTTGTCGGTTGAACTCCTCCGCCATTTTTTTACCGATTTTATCCATTGACGTCTCATTGGAAAGTGCGTGTCGCGTAGATTTGCAAATTGGCCTTACATTTTTGAAAAAGTCCCTTGGGCTCCGCCCCAGTGGCTTCGAAAGTTCCCATGTTATCCTTATGAAGAACATAATTGTTTACATTTTGATCAGCTGTATAATTTAATTGCTGTTATTTATTTTTCAATTCAATGAAACGCATTGAGTATATTTATTTACTATTTGAGTTTGTGTAAACATAACCCCCAAGACGGATCGTGTTAGTATGGTTGTATCTTATTTGTGTATTTATCGTTGTTTTGTGTGACTATGACGGATCGTGTTAGCATGATTGTAACTTAAATCTGTGCATTTATCGTTGTTTTGTGTGGCTATAATTTGTTTATTTGTTGTTTTTTTCTTTTAAATGCCTCCGACGCGACGACAACTAAACATAGACATGAGGCGTAATCATGATAACGACCGCAGCTCCTGGACAATCTCAACTATTAGGTTACAAATGCGCTCAAACACTACCCCAAAACGACTTTTCGTTCTCAATTGGCCCTCTATCAATGACCTGTGTTGCCTGTACAGCAAGGCATTTTGAGAAGGAGAAAACCGGCCGGAATGCTTTTTAGGTTTTATCAATAACGAAGATAAACATGGTCTGAGTTAGCCTACACACCGGTAATCTTTGAGTTGACTCTTTTAAATTCATTGTAAATATGACTGTTATTCGTTTTGAAATAATGTAATACTTTGCAATTGCTCGAATTCGAGCAACATGTACACTAGTTTATTATTATTTTTGCTGATTCCTCAAACTATTTTTTCACATAACCTTAAAGTTGTAGTTGTGTTGCCTATCATTGTACATTATTATTGTGGTGAATTGTGGTAATAGGGTATAGTGTGGTGAAAAATAGCGTTTGTACCACGGACCGAAATGCTTTTGTAGCTCTCGATCGTTTTAAGCTAAAAAACTATCTCGAGCCGGCAAAACCTCATTTTCAGCCCTAGGTACGAAATATACTATTCTGTCAAGTTCAACAAGTCTTTTTAATTTTTTTTTCTTTGTAAGGGAATGGTCCAAATGTTCACCATTTGGCCACAACTATGGGAGGGGGCTCAATATCACCGCAATCCTGGGTGTTCGTGGTTTTGCTGTGATCTCGGAGACGTTCACCACGATCGTGGGAGATGTTCATAATTTTGCCGTGATCATATAGGCGAGGTTCACGATTTCATCATGACTGCAGGTTGCAATTTTTCTATGCCACGACAGATTTTCACGATTTTGTTGCCATCTCTGGAGACAGAAAACTTATTCAAATGCTATTTAACAATTTTAAAACCCATCCAGCTATTGTTGAGTTATGAGTCTACTAATTTATAGGATTCTTGGCAGAAGCAGAGATAGGTAAAAATTGTGATTGAAATCCTGTTAGAGAACTTACTGATAAAATAATTTATTCAATGATTATTATTTTATTGATTGGAAAACTTTAAAAAATCATGTTATTTTGCATGTAGTTTTTTCAATATTTCAATATTATTTGTTTTTTTTTCTTAGCTACTGTTCTGTGCTCCTACTTTTTTCTCAAGTTATTTTACAAAACCAAAATGTACGTTTAATTTCTTTTGGCTATCAAAATTAATTTTATTATGGTGACAATAGGTGTGGCGTCATCTCACACATGTACACACGCTATCTACTATACCCTGTTTGCATAGGAAGTGCGGCTAGCCAAAGGGTCAGCCCTTCTCACAAACCTTACATACACACAAAATTACAGAATTTAATTAGGGAATTTGGTACGCTTTAACCATAGCAAAGTACATATAAAATTTGTATTTGAAATCTTTGTTAGTGTCATGAAACTTTATCATAACAATTTATATTTGCTTTCCAAAAATGACCGGAAATGCTGTTGAAATGACGGCTTACTATATGAAATGAAGTACTAAATACAATTTAGAGTGGTAATTTACAACACTCAGGCTAAATTTACAACTTTTGATACATAAAAGCGTAACAATTAATTCATGATGGGTTGCTCAACAAGTGTTCTACTCAAAATTTGTTATAAGTTTCTTAACACAAACTACTAACATTTTGTAATCCAGACAGAAAAAGCAAAACCTATATAGTAAGACATCAATTAAATTGAATACAACTGTAATAAATAAGGTGCAACACCAACGATAACTAATTTGTAAATAGTGATGTGTTGGTACTAGGGATGGTCAAGTCTCGAAATTTCGGGAAATTTTCGGGAAATTTTAAATCTCGTTACACGAGACGAGATTTCTTTTTGGCCGAGATTTTTATCGAGACGAGAATAAAAAAAAAAAATATATTAAAAACGCCTGCAGAAAGTCAATGCAATACCCGCAATACAGGAGCGTGTTGTAGTTGCGTTTCCTTTACGAAGGCGTTCTTATTTAATTAATTCTTTAAATGTAAATATTACTTTAATTATTTTAATAATATTACTTTAATAACATTTGAGAAGTTTTGTTAAGTGTAAGCAGTGTGAGGAATGTTTTATTACTATAAAAAGTCAAAACAAGTAACTATTTTATAAAAATTAATATTGCTTTTTTTATGATTTATTTTATTTTAGGATAAGTTGAACTCTATCCTAACTGATATCACTATGTTTCCTAATCGTAGGTATTTTTAATAAGTTAGGCGTGATTAATAAAAAATGTTATGCTGATGTTTTTTAATAAAAGATTGTAAATATTCTTGCCTATTATCATTATTTTTGTATTTAAACAGTCATCTAACAATGTTACAAAATCAGGTAAAAATTTTGAACGTGCATTTCCCGTTGTGTATGAGAAGGGAAATCCCGTCTCGATCTCGTCTCGAAATTTTATGAGAAATAAAAAATCTCGTCTCGTCTCGTCTCGAACTAAAAATCCAATCTCGTCCATCCCTAGTTGGTACGTAAAAATGATTCTTGTTGATACAACCGGTTTTAAGGAAAAGAACCAGTACCAAAAACCGACGTTTACAGTTAAGAACTATAGTACATCTGACCAATTAATCAAGTCCCGAAGTTATTGATCTCTCTTGGTTTTGGATTTTCTGACAAAAAGTTATTGGAAATCAAAGTTATTTCCCATTAATTGTGTTACAGTTACAGTCCAACCTCGGTATAACGAATCTGAAGGGACCGAACTGAATATTCGTTATATCAAAGATTTCGTTAAAACGAGGTTCGTTATATTGAGGTTAGGTTTGCAGGAATTTCGCTAAGTCGAGGTTCAGAACCAGCGTCGGTCAATTTAGGTCGGGATTTGACCTCATAAAAAACAATTAAAGTAGCATAGGCTACAATACTTTACAGTACAGTGTTAACATATTAAAGTAGAACCACAATTATCTAAAGTAATAAAGGGGAGGGATCTTTAATATTGCGCAATCATGACATTTCTAGTCATTGACCTTGGTACAGGCTACAAACTGTAAGTTTAAAATCACAGCTAATTTAACCCGTCTAAAACCTAGCCAAACACTGTATTGTGTAGTCATAAACCACGTAAAGAACAAAACAAAACAGTAGAGAGTTTTGTAAGCTGCTGCTCGTGATAGACCGGCAAGCTACTTAGAGTAGTACCTACTGATTTATCACAACAGAGGAATCTCAATAATAATGATCAACTATAGCATTGGAGTTGCTAGTTGAAACAACTCGTATTGAAAACAATAAATTATTAATTATTAGATAAGTCATTATAAAAGTGTATAATCATAGCCAACTTAAAGATAACAAAAACACTCATAAAAGAAATGTTAAGATAACGATGTTGCTATTCTTTCTCTTTGCTTTTGTTTTTATATTCTTTCTTAGGCTTCTCTTTATCTGAAAATTGTACAAGTCACCATAGTTAGGCACTTATCGCCTAATCACAGCTTACTAAACATTACGTCGTCATCAGTCCTCTCCTCAGTGAATGAAATCAAATCAGTCCTCAGTATGTCACATAGCGTGCAGCGACAGCAGCAGCAGACAAAGATGTGTAAAACGGAGCAGACGAATGTTAGGGCAAGCGATGACGTCACCTTTCCATTTCATTTGATAAAGAAACAGATTTTTCATCACTCCATAACGAAAGTAACTATTTTCGATAACAGCTGACATCAATGAAAGTAGGCGAAATCACGAAAAATTTGTTAAATCAAGGTTGTTGTTATGGTTTGTTCGTTATGTAGAGGTAAAATATACATTGTGTCTTATGGAGAGTTCTAGGGGATTAAAATAATTTTGTTATATCAAGGAATTCGTTATATCAGGGTTCGTTTTATCAAGGTTAGACTGTATTTGTAAACAATTTTTATGTAAACATATCGGTTACAGTTTGAACAAAACAACCTTATCCAAACATTTTTTTGTTATTAAGTAGATGACGTATTCTCTAAACGATGTTTGGTATATGTAGTAAACATTAGAAGGAAATGTGAAAAAATCACACAATGTTTGGTTTTTGAATGTTTTTAATTTAATTTCCTAAGTAGGTAGGCCATGTATTCTAGGGAAAAGTACCGGTATCAAGGATCGTCGTCGAATAGGTTGTTATGAATAGTTGGGTATGCCTATGTACCCAAGATACAGGCTATGAGCCTATTGGCTGTATAGTGGAAAAGCGAGTTTAGCATCATCCATTTTATTTTTTGTTTTAAAATAACGCCTGTAATACTTTGCAATTGCTCGAATTCGAGCAACATGTACACTAGTAATGTTTATTCTAAAAATTTTACATTTGTAATCTTTATAGCATAATCTTCACCAAGCCTATTTCCTGTTGAGTAAAATAAACTACTCAATTAGAATGAACTTGGTTTTGTCCAGTTGTCATGAGAAAAAATAGCAGTCAAAGTAAATTGTTGAGAAATAAATCATCTACTTAGCAAACTAATCCAAGTGAACAAATTCCACTTTGATTGACAACTGTTAGTTAATACAGTAGCTATTTGTGTATTAAGGGCTCAAAGTATAGTGTTGCTGCTCGAGAACATTATACAGTACAGAGTGTGGAAAAATTTAAAATACACATAATTGCATACATGCACATAAATCATTGCACCAGTGAATGACCATGATATAACACATATTTCAGAATTGTTAATTCATAAATTCTAGTAAATAGCCTCTTTTCATCTAGTAAATTACCGTAATTATTAACCAGCAGTCAATTTATGAATGTAGTGGTCATTCACTTGTGCACTCACCCTTACCAACTTTCATTCGTTTTCAGATGTTTGTGTGTTTCTTACTGCGTAAACATTATCTTGAGAAATTTTAGTTCTTGGAACCTAAATGATCCTGGGACATTTTATCACCCTTTCCGTTTAAAATCTCTAATCAGTTTCAGATAATTTTTTTTTCAAATCCATTCAAAAAGTTACATATATTAGTTTAGTTTTGAAAGTAATGAAGTAAGGAAGGTTTCAATGAGTTGTGTTCATATGACATAGCTATGATATAGGCTAATGTTGTAAATCCTGGTGATATTTTACCTTGTCAAATGGTTACTGATACATAGACATGTTAAAGATTATTTTTTTACAATTGTGTGAATATATTGTGTATGCTATGATTATGTGTATAAAATTGCTTTTCAGTCACAAGATCATGTGAATTTTTATAAGATTATGTGTTTGTGAAATCGTATTAAAAGTGTATTAAGTTTGTATATCAATTCAAGTTTCTTTCAATCCCTGGTAACTCATCACATACTAACCTTAATATCTTTAATATATATATATATTTTTTTATATATTAAACTAGTCTTTACAACACAAGTAGGAATTTAAGTAATCAACGATTGAATTGGTCACTACCAGTTGATAAGTCTGTGTTTCTTTTTGATTCTAAAAATTGAATTGAAAAGGCTGGTATAACAAAATGATCGTAGGTATATAATTACCCGCTCATAACTAAGTGGTACGCAAAATATGTTTTTCTTGTGGAGTGATACGCCAGGATAAAGGTTGGTAAACACTGCTGTATAGAACTGTCTACCCACTGAAATTACACAATCATGTTACATCAAATTTTATGGAGTCTATAACTTAGGAAAGTATGATTCTGGTGTTTTAATTACTTCATTTTAGCGTTACTTGAATTTTGGTAAACTTGGTACAGTCCAAATCAAATCAATTTATTGATACAATAATAAACGTTACGTAAAATGCTCATAGCAGTAACTGGCGTCTTGTCCATTACATAAATACTTATAATAAATATGTACTTAGAAAAAAACATGCATACATAAAACAAACACAATTACAATAAATAACAACACAAATGTACAATAACTGTAGAGATTCCTGTTTCTTGTGTTGTACTTATGTCTTATTTTTTATTAAAAACTGCTCAAAATCTTTCTTGGACATCATTTAGGTTTTCATTAATAAACAGACTAAGGAAAATTAACTGACATTACACTAATTAACTGGATTACATCCGACATCGATTTTCCCTTCCCAAAAGCAGTGGTATCATCTACAAAAAGTTTTAGTTTTTAAGGAATTTTTCTGGTCATATTATTGATATGAATGATAAACAATAAAGGCCCCAAAATTGAGCCTTGAGGAATCTTGCATTCAATTTTCCAGGGGATTTATTGGGGCCTTTTTTTATTTATCCAGTCTGAATAGTACTTTATCTTTTTTGTTTACAATGAAAGTTCTTAGTTTAGAATTTGCCAAATATGGTCTAAACCATTGAAGACTAATGTCCGAGGGTAGATGTTGGTGAATTTTTAGACTGATGTATTTTCCTTGACTTTCGGTTACCACTAAAACCAAAACTTTTCTGCTCTGCTTCAGTGTTTGAATTGAGATACAGTATTTGTTTTAGTCTTGGTTGCATCATCCTCAATATACCATTGTCTTCGATATAAAATTGTGTATATTTGACATTTGTCCAAATTTCCAGACTTATACCATTGACTATGTAACATATAGTCAATGCTTATACCCTCGATGCTTTTTGTTTTCTTTCTGTCAATTCATTTTCTTCTTCCTGTTCATCTTGTAGTTTTCATTACCAGCTGTTCTTTGCAAAACAATATTTACTACATAGTTTGCGCTAATAACTAGAAAAAAATTAAAGATCAATATTTTTTTAGAACAAGTTTTTTTACAGTTGTCAGCGTTAGGTCTGAAGTTTGTTTCTGTAACTTTGACATTACATGATCAATGTTTGTAAGGATGTGTACACCACAATCATGTCCATTGTTTTGTTTTAAGTTATCTTGGTTTCTCTTCTTCAATTTTTATATCATTCTTAAAGATTTTGAAAACTTTGGAGGACACAGCAACTACACACATTAGCATATGTTCCGGCGCCCACCGGTAGGAGTGTCTTGTAGTTACGGCGCACACCGCTGCAGCGTCTGCTGGTAGCATACGGCTCCTGCCCTCCTTGCCTGCAGCGGTGTGTACCGTAACTACACAGCACTCCTAGCGGAAGCTTCCTTTCACAGTGCTATATTTTATTTTATTTGTCTATGCTAAAACTTGTCTATGTTTTCAACTTTTCATTTTAGTTTGCTCAATAGGTTATTTGTACTGTATTGCAAAACTTGTTCTATTTTGTTAACCATTTGATTGATGAGAAAATTAAGTTATCATTTTATCAGGCTGGAATCAACTTTTTTTTGTGTTGTTTTATTTTGAATTATTTCGGCTTTTACTATTATTTTTAGAATACTAATGAATTATTGACAAAAAATCTATTTATTGTTGTTTTTTCTATTTAGAGTCGATTGAAAAGCTAACTAAAGAAAAGAGTTATTGTTTGCAAGTATTACTTCAGCAGTCGCAGACAAAGCTAAGCTTTCTTCACCAACAGCCATCATTTTATTGGTCCCAGAGTCATGTAAGTACAAAACACAACATTTTCTTTTAGTTTTACTGTATCTGTAAGTCAATCAGTGTTATAGCAATCTTGGCTAGCAATTCATGAGTTCAAGATTTTTTTTATACTTTGAACACATTATTGAGTGTGTCGCTTAATAAGACTGGCTCGTATTTCATTCATGTAAGGAGTCAATTTGATGGTCATTAACATTTTTAGAACATATAATATGAATTTTTCACTAGTAGTATGACAGATTCAAGGCAGAAAGTAATTATTGGTTTGGTGTACCAGTATTTGGTTAATTTTTGATCATACACATACCATTTTTTTTAGCTATATACGTTATGCAAGGAATGGCAAAATACAGGGAGGAAAAAAGTCCGGACCGGATAATATTTCAAAATGTAATATAGATAGTGCTTTAAAACTTGGTGCACAGTTACTGGGGATTAAGATCATTTTAACCACAGCCACCTCTAATACAAGGCCGCGGCGAGCGAAAAATGGCAACGTCGCATCTGTGTCTTGGCGTGCGGTCGTCTTACCATTACAGTGAATGGAGGAAGACGTACTTATTCGCGTTTACCCTTAATCATTAGTAATGACATTGAAATTGCTACTGCATCATACCAGATAAATGTGTTGTGCCTGGGTGCAAGAGTAATTACGAAAGCTTGATTAAAACTGAAGGATACACGCAGTGTTTTAAGATTCAAAGTGATCCGGCGCGTAAGCAACAGTGGATTCGTTCTATTCCTCGGTCAGATTGGACACCTTCAAACAATACTCGTATCTTATTAGTTTTGTGGAAAATACAAGAATAAAGACGGTGATTGGTACGAATATAGACGCGAGAAGCCGGTTTTAGGTGAGAATGCCGTACTTAGACTTTTTCCCAATTTACCTTCGTATCTTGATACATGAAAAACGACAAAGAGAAAGACTCCTGAAGAAAGAAGGAAGACAACAGGATGAAGAAATTCGACTAGCAAAAGAAAACAAGATCTGGGACTTTACTTCATTTTGCAACAATTAAGGCTGTATATTAGCACATAATAAATAAATAAATAATAATAATAATAGACGCGTATAATTAGCGTCATTTTGCACATTATAATGAATGTGGAAAGCCATAAGAAGGCCTAGCTTCTAGGATCGTTTCCACAATGGAAAACATATTGCTAAATAATTATTCAAAAGAAATAAATAATTCAGTCAGTAGGCCTTCAAACAAGAAAATAAAACTTAAAATTTTGTTGTAGCTATCTAAGACTTATGGTTCGTCAGGTAGGCTAAAACAATAATATGAATATTTAAAATTGCAAAAAAATTATTTAAAAAAACCAAGATATTTTTGTTATTTTACTCTTTCATTTGTAATTGGAAGTATTACAAGACATTTTCACATTCATTGCAATTTATTACAATACGATAAATAGGCCTACAAGCAAACAAACATTATGTTTGTATTTTAGTACAAAAATCACTATTATATGACATTTAAATATCTTTTAGCGAATTTCCCATATATGGAATATTAGCGAATTTCCCATATATGGAATAAGCTATTACCGTAGTACTCACGGTAAGACCTGGACCCGGGACCGATTTTTTTTTTTTTTTCGTTTTGAGGTCCCTAGAGGTCAAAAACACCAACCGTTCAAATTCATATATATATGTGTGTCCGTTAGCGTGATAACTCGAGCAAAAATGTGTGTAAACCTACGTTTATTCGAACGAGTTCGCGAACCAGCATGATCAGACCATGGGAACGGGGGTTTATGGGGGCTTTTATGGGGTAAAAATGGGTTTTTCCCATTTTTGACCCAAAAAACATAAAATTTTGCAATTTCTTTCAAAACTATTTTGTAGAGCTTAAAAAAACAAATAATTTAGTATATTGAAGCGTTATAATGCGCCTAATGGTTACGGAGAAAATTCCAAAAAATTGTAAATTTAAAATTCCCATGTTATTCTTATGGAGAATAAGTAAACTGTTGTAGTTTTTATTTCTTATTCTTGTTGTTATTTGTATTAACATTTTACATAAAAAACACTTTTACCCTCCCTGTTGCAGCAAACCTAAGTATGTTTTAAACTGATTCTATTTAAATAGGGAATAAATGTGATATTTTTAAGGAGACATTTTAGTGTAAATCCATTCAGGGAAATGGAAATTCGCTTAGTCTGCAGGTTTGCTGCGGCGGGGGTATTTATTTCTATCTATAGAGCAGTAAAAACAGCAAAACTCTCATTTAAGTTACAGTAGACCCCCTCTTAACCAACCTCGTATTAACCGATAATCGGATTATCCGCCTTCGATCGTAAAATAATACAGTTTGCTTTAACCGACCTTGCTTTTAGAGCAGCTCGGTTTAACCGCCGCTTTCTAGGAATCTCGGCATTTCCGCTCCCACGCTGGGCGATGAGAACTGAACCATACGCTTATCTCCACAGGATATGACTAAGAATAAGTTATTTTGTGTTGATCACAAAAAATATAGCATAGCCTATTGTCAGTTTGTCATCATCGTTTGTAGCTCGAGCTCATCTGATCTGTTTGTTATCTGTGCGGCAAATTTATAACATCATAAAGTGCGTTACGATTTTGAGAACTGATTATCTTATAGCTGGAGTAAACAAACAACGCAACTTGTAGGGAGGGCTGGGAAAGGGGGTTAACAACTCCAAGGTCAAGATAGTTTTTGTGCCTCGAGCCTCCAGTGAGAGGCTATAAACAAACGTCATGTCATGTAACAAAATTGTTGATTGTATCTTTAATGTCGACAAAAGGTTCTGTACTGTATTACGATGGATTTGGAAAGCATCAATCAATAAATTACAGTACTAAAGTTATTAAAATAGGAATTTTATTGACTCTTGCCTAGTATTATAATATTTTCCACTGAAAGTAGGCCTATTTGACTTAACCGTGTTTTGTGTTTATTTGTGACTTTTCTATCAATACGAAAAAGGAGATAAGAGTAGTTTATTTTATAAATAATGCAAGTATGATTTCAAAATAATGATCATATAATTCCAAATGAATAGCACTTCATTATGTTATGATTTTAGGGATTGTCCGTTTCATCCGACCTTTTGAAGTATCCGATCTAGGTCCGGTCCCATTAGGGTCAGTTAAGAGGGGGTCTGCTGTATAGCCTAGCGTGTGTGAAGATGGACCCAGAAGGGGTGTGATTGTGGCGTTGCCATTTCGATCGTCGCGGCCTTGTATTAGAGGTGGCTGTGTATTTTCTTAACTATTTTCAAAACTGACTGTATATAAATTTTTTACCTGACACCCTTTTTGTATAGGTCTCTACTAATTTTTAAATCTTGAACTTTGCAAACATAAGTATAACAGGAGATGCTCACGAAAAAATTAACAACAAAACTACTTTTGTTGCAAATATATTATTTGTGGGATATTGCCATAAGGATATCATGGTAACATTTATATTAAGTATGACAATTATTTTTTGATTCCTGGATTCCATATATGATCAACTATTTAACTGAGTGTTTTCAGGGCTTTCAGAGACCTCCACTGAAAAGTATCATGACAACCCGATCAGAGTTATACTACAAGACACAATGAACAGTTGATACAAGTCAATGTACGGTACGTTGGTTTTTGTTTAACTTTTGCATTTGTACACCTTAAAAGATTTAATCACAATGCAGGGAAATATATTTACTGAACTCAAAAATGTATTGAGTCTTCAAAATATTATTATATCAGGGCTGTAGCTAATAGATCGTAAGCATTGAACAAGTCCTATTATAATTTAACTTAAAAGCTGCAGCCTGAATTTGCAACCAATCTAGCGAGGTTTTATCTTGCAACCAGTAATCATTTTGGTCCTATCTTGCAACCATAATCAGCTGGGTTCTATTTCACAATCATTGATTGCTAAATCATTTTTTGCAACAACTATACTCCGTTCACAAAATTTAGGCGGTTTTAGGGGAAGAAATCTGTCCCCACCACTTGATCCTACCTTTAAATCAATAGCCGAGCAGCTGAGGTTTGTCAAAACGCCAATCAGCTGCAACATATACATTAAGCAAAAAAGTAGTGGGGGACTTCCCCTTTAACCGCCTAAATTTTGTGAACAGAGTATAGTAAGCAGCTGGTGGTCTTAACAAAACCTGTCTTGATTTTGGAATCAAATTAAAGTATAAGTCAGACTCAGAGTGTTAACTGAACCTTGATGCAATCATAGATAAATAATTATACTCCCTTAGTAGATCCTTCATCCTTATGGATCAGCTAAAGACAATTCCATTGTTTGTTCCATTCGGTGCTCTGTAGGGGTCGTGTTTTGTTTACAAACACAGTTTGTTTCTTATTATTTCAGTAATTTAAAACCTCGTTTAACCAAATAATACGATCTAAACATAAACAATAACTCGTTCCCTAGTTATAGGTAGTAAAGCACAAGTCATGAAATGAACCCTAAAATAATAGAAACAAAATTTTGTCAAGACTAACGATCAGTGTCACCAACATGAACTACACAACGAAAAGCGAGCTTCAAAATTTACAATGGGATGAGAAGTCTACTTGTGTTGTAGTCTGATGCAACAAAGACAACACAATCATGTTGTGAATTTAAACCACAACTTTGACCACTGATGATGTTGTTTAACTGACTTTTTGTAAAAATTTTATTTTAACTATTTATAACTTAATAATAGGTTAATAAAAAGGGTATTCATTTTATTAATGTTAAACTAATTTATTTATACTTCTACCTTATTTATTTTATTTTTCAGTCACGTTTCACCAAGGATAGGGGCAAACCTATGAAAAAGCTGAACTACTGCCTAAAGCAAGTTGGAAATCTCATATGATATTATGTGCAATTTTGTTTAGACTTAAAAAGAGTTTTAATAGTAAAAAAATAAGTGTTCATATCTATAAAAGAGAGACTGAAGTGTTATGTGTTTTTTTTCAAGTTTAAGAACGTTATGTATTTATAAAGAAAAAGTTGTTTGTTTCAGTAAAAAGTTCAAAAAAAGTCAAATAGTTTTATATGTGTTTGATTCACAAATAATTGAACTTACCTTATCTCCTTGGCCACTGAAACCTAAGGTTTTTGGCCTCGCCAACGATGCCTCTCAACTGCTCTCTATCTTCATCTGCCTTGGGGGTGGTTCCTAATACTGCTAAGTCCCTCAGCACCTGGCTCTTCCATTGAAGTCTCGGCCTGCCGAGTGGTCTCCTGTCTTCTGGGTTATAATGGTCTACAGTTTTAATTATAGACTTAGCTTCTTGTTCCTGACTCATTCCAGAGGAGTCTACGTCGCAGTCCACAACGGGATGGCGAGGAGTTTGTGTTGTTGTGCAAGTGATTCTGTGAGGGAAACTTGAAGTCCGTATTTCGCGAAGTCTAGGAAAACACTAGTCCGTCTTTGTCTGCGGTGCGGTCTAAAAATGCATTGAACGCCGTACCCCACTGTGGCGTATACCCCTCAGCTAGGAAAACCCGCCTTTAGTTCTCTGTTCTTTCGGATTCTCCACCCTAATTCATTTTGTACCAGTCCATACGTCCTTCTCAGTCAGTATCTTATTTTCAAGAACTACTAGGAGCAAACCCCGGTGTTGGCCGGGTCAAAATAAAATTCACAATAATGGTAATAAAATATGTCTTGATTTTGGTAAAACACTATCATGAACTAAACTGATACAAACCATTAATATCTCAAATGAAAGCCTTTATTTCTAGGACTATTTTAAGACCAAGACATAAAATAAATAACTAAAGTGAAAATCATTGCTTGCAGATAAGTCCTAAAATAATAATAATTATTGTTGATCCGTGCAGCAGCGTGCTTCAGGTACTTCGAATCTTAGTAACCAATCACACAATTGAAAGCTGGTACATCACTGAAGGCTCTTAGTCCAATACTAAAGATAATATGTTAGAACGGGTGAAATTCATCTTTAATTAAAGTAAGAATTTGAACAAAAATTTATGTTTTTTCGGTTGAGTAACACAGTAGATAAAAATTAATGACCATGCTTGATGGCAAATCTGTGCGTGCATACCTTTTAATTTAAGACAACAATTATTAATAATATCCAAGTTAATATCTAATTTAAATTTATATAGTAGCAACAATTAAAAGTTTTATTTCTCCAATAAGTCCGCCTCCCAGAGCCTTCCGCTCTGGAGTGACTGCTCCACTCACTCCACGATCGCTAAGCCACTGTCACAGCAATTGCAATCCAAGCAAATCTCCAGTCAGTTAATTTTTCTCAAATGGGTCCACAGTTAAGTTTTACGCGGTTCACGCCCATAAAACATTAGCTCAATAAGAATATATATTTTGTTTTAACCTGCGTCACAACCAAATTTAGGTCTTTCCACTTAATAACAACTCCGTATAATACAAGTTTGTTTGTTGTATTTTTGTTATACATACATCATCATTACGTTAATAACCTATTTTTATGGATGGACGGGTCCAGATATATTCGGGGAAAAATATTCCCGATTTTCGGGATGGGACTATGCCGTGACCGCAAGTCATACTGACGATCACCCCATGACCGCGAGTCATTTTGACGATCGAACCGTGACTGCGAGTAATTTTGACCGCGAGTCACAAATTTCTATACCTGTAAATTTTTACCCATTTTTTTGATTTTATAGATCAGTGCCACAAATGGTAATAATTGATTTTGTTTGTCTTGTTTGGTAACTGCAATACTCAACGTTGGCGAAATAACCGCAGAGTTATACCGACGATCATGCCGTGACCTCGAGTCATACCGACGATCACGCCATGACCGCAGAGTCATTTTGACGATCGCACCGTGACCGCGGAGTCATACCGATGATCACGGCATGCCCGCGGAGTAATAATGACGATCACGCTGTGACCACAAATTCATACCGACGATCATGCCGTGACCGCGAGTAATATCAACGATCACGGAGTCATACCGACGATCACGAAGTAACCGCGGAGTCATACCGACGATCAAGCCGGAGTCATACCGACGATCACACCGGAGTCATACCGACGATCGCACTGGACCGCAAGTCATATCGACAATCACCCCGTGATGGCGGAGTCATACCGTCGATCGCGAAGTAACCACAGAGTTATACCAATAATCACGCCGTGACTGCGGAGTCATACCGACGATCCCTCCGTGAGCGTGAGTCATTTTGATGATCGCACCGTGACTGCGAGTCATTTCGACACAAATTACTATACCTGAAAATGTTTACCCATTTTTTTATAGATCAATGCCACAAATGGTTAAAATTGATTTTGTTTGTCTTGTTTGCTAACTGCAATACTCAATACTTTCTTTTTATGCACAGGAAAAATCTGTCCTGTCCTGTCCTGAAAATTTGGAAGGAAATAAAAATCCCGTTCCGTCCCGTCCCAAGCTAAAAATTCAATCCCGTCCATCTCTACCTATTTTTAAGTTATATAAATGCAATGTAAATATAGAATGGAGTCAGATAATCTTTGTGGCTTTTAGACTAAGGGCTTCTTTTACCCAGTATCATTTATTTAGCCCCAATGATCAGGGTCAGCTTGTTCCAGTTTCGACCCATCAAAAAGATAACTTTTCTCTGGATCAACTTTTTTGATATTAAGGGATAACTATAACCACTCAGCTACCCAGCCAGTTAGTTGTGTTTACTGTTAATTAATAGTACTAATTGATTTAATTTAAATGGATAAATAAAACATCCAGTCAGACTGGGCTAACATATTTATTTACAAAAAATAATACCAAACATGTTAACCAACAAAAGAAAACGGCCGGATGTAATAATCAAATACACATTAAATACACTCGCCCAATCTTAAGATACACCCATATAGACATATTTTAGAGAACCAATTATGATCTTGGTGCCTGAACATCTTTATAATACAATTTATAATTTTTTTACATATGAATAGAACTAATTCAGTAGTACGTGATTTTGTAGCGATGCAATTGATTCATAAGGCCAATGGGCACTCTTCAGTAAATATATACATACTTTGAATAAAAAACAAAAAGTTATAGATCGTGCTGGTTATAGTGGTGAGCAGGATGTACATGACCACCAGAACTCTTTCCCCACTAAAGTGACTTGTGTTATTTTGTAGTCATTTCAACAATTAATTGGATTATTGGTGTCTCTTAGTTGTGAGACTTTCCTCATCCCTTCCTATACACCATCTCAAACAACATGATCTATACCTCTATTTAATTTATATTCAAGTAGCATCTTTGAGTGTGACGAAAACAAAAGTTTCCGAGACATATTTATTTAATTAATGGATTGAAGGAAAAATATTTTTTATATAATTTTAACTATTATTTGAGATTGTTTCAAACAATCCCCTTTGAGCATCACTAATAAATTTAACTTGTTCGTCATGGTCAATATTGTATGATTTGTGCTACTTAATATGCTCAAGTTTCAATCCTCATTGAACACCATACAATGGCTCAAGCCAGGCAAACTGATCACAATAATTAACTAAATTGCGAAAACAAATTGCTAAAGTCAAAATAAACAAGTTTAAATCAACTATAAATTTATATATTCTGAAAATGTACATCGTGTGCTAGTTACGAGGGAAGAGGGAGGAGGCGGGGGTTGCGACCAGGACTCGAGAAGTGCAGTTGCTCCTGGTATCAGATCTGGAACAAAGCAATTTGAGATAAGAACAAATTGGTAACAAACTGTAATTAACTGTTTCTTATTTCTTTAAACCTATTGGTATTATAGATCACAGTACTTTAACTATTTCCAAAAGTTTTCATTTAGCCAGAGATTACAGTATAAGCGTAAATATATGTTTTAAGTGTTATAAGACGTATCTTTATTTACTTTTCATAAATTTAATAACACGTACAATGCTGATCAAGAAGTTATTTAGATATTACAGTGCTAGCGTGAAATACGGAGGTTGCTGGTTCCATCTAAAGCTGAACCAGTTCCGGACCCAGATGACTATTAATGATACCGTCTATCAAAATGTCAATGTTAGATGACCAGGGATTTGCCGTTGCCTTACAAAGACTTTCAAAAAAGCCCAATACTGTCGGAAAACACTGTGATAACTTATGCAACTTTACAATAATCTTATAATAGTCAACCTTTTCTAAACAATTCATGGCCTCTGTTATATTAAAATGAACCAACACCAACCGTTTGAATTTGGAATAAATTGAAATTTGTTATATAAACATTCAGTCAGGGGTGCTCACCCCCCCCCCCCCCCCCCGCCACAAACTCTATATCGCAGAATACTTCCCAAATTTGTTGTTCAACTCATGCCCAGAAGGTTTAGTGGTATCCCCCAGATAGAATACGGGTCCTTCCAAAAGTATTATTTGATTAGGCTGCAAAATTGTTGTTTTTTTAAGCTTTAAAATGAAACTTTTATTGCACTTTTTGTACACTTTTTGACTGGGTTTTTTAATCGTGTAAAACATATCACAATTCAAACAAAATCAGCTATCTGACACATACTTTTACCCTAGCTTAACAATAACTCTTATGTTGTAAGTGTAAGCAATGGGCCGAGTAATTATTATCAATTTTAATTCATTCATTTTTACCGTAACAGTTATGTGACATAATTAATGAATTTGGATAATGGTAAATAAGCTTGTAGCTGTTCTAACCCTTGTTTCTTGCTACTCTGACTGTTTAATCCTCACTTGTTTTGTAACCGGTCCCATTTTAAGACAAGGTTTCAATCGTTTCTCTAACAAAAAATAATTTAAACGCCACAAAAAAATAAGAATTTGAAAAACTTTAGTAGTTCAACTTACATTATCAACAGGATCGCCCTCCCCTTCGTCGCTGATCTCGTCTCCGAACTCGATGTCTTCATCAAAGCCGTCCTCCACGAATGTGACAGTGTCGTTGATACGCACTGCAACAAAGAAAGATTTCAGAAGTGGCACTAAATAAACCAGCTTACATAAAAAGATATTTCACCTTACATTTTGTTCCTTG